TGAGGCAGGAACGGCTCAGTTTCCATAGTAACCATTCTCAGACTAACTGCTTGTCTGCGGCCGCTCTGTTTTTCTGCTCATTTGCTCTTTTTTTTTGTCTCTCCTACTTTTTGCTGTTTTTTGTTTTGTTGCTTGGTCTAAATCAACCACCAACGAGCACTGTAAATAAGAAAAGCAACAGGGACTGCGACTGCACTCATTAAAATGTAAACAGGGGGCAGGATCAGGTGTGCTGTATTTGCTACACACCATTAAAAAAACACTTCTATTCTCGACACACACCTGGCTCAATGCTTCCTGTCCCAATCTAGCGCACAACTCCTATTCCTGCCCTATATTTCATATTTAATCTGCCGTGCTGGAGGATTTCTTGGCCCAGTGCACTGTGTAATCTTGTGCGGGGCAGATGGTAGTGTGGCAGTGTCAATCGGATCTCTGGATTGGGACGTCGGAGTGGGCTGGAGTTCTCATGGGGGCAGGGACTGCTGTGCCAGGATCAGTTTTGGCTGGTCAGTCTACATAAGCAGTGAGAAGGCAGACAGACACCTCACCTTTTGATTCCGGGCTAAATCCGGGACGCAGGAGCTCTCAGTTGACATTGGACACAATTGGCAGTGAAGATTAGGATTAGCCAGGGATCATAAGTGTCTTGTTCACTGTGGTGTCTTACAAACAGCTCACAGACTGTCACTTGCACAAGTTTAGAGTCTTCACATAATGAGTGCTGGGGTTTGCAGTCAGGAGGTTACAATAGCTGTGGTATTATGGTGTCAAAGGTCTCTCAAAATATTATGGATTGTTGTAAGCTCCTTTGATTATAATGCACTGTTTTGATGCAGCAGGTCACTGGAGAAAAAGGGGTTTTACATAGAGCATGGCACTTTGCATGGCCCGAGTACTGTGAAAATCAGAACATTACTATTAATAATCAAGATAAAATGGAAGACTTTATAAATGGCAAGAACTGACAAGCACAGGGCAGGGCTAATAACAGGTGAGAGTGATATACTTACAAAAGGGCAATTACAAAATCTTTATTAAAACATATTTGACAATAGACAATGGATATTTACTACTACATTTTTCTGTAAATGGTAACAAATGTAGTTATTTTATCTTTCTAGTTAGTTCTATAGTTGTGAAATCTGTCCCATCTCAATGTGTTAAAAAATAGGAACAACTCACATCCCTAGCCATCACTTGCAAGTTCTATTTAAAACTACATCCCCAATTCATTATAATGGGGCCTCTATCTCATCTCAAAGGAGCATTGAGTCGAGGTTATTAACCGTCTACAAAGCACATTACTGTATGTGAGGGGCCGCCAGTGTCCATTCCTCTGGCTACAATAATGGGGACTAGTGTGAAGTTTGGACAGTTCATTTGAATGGACACAACCTCTCATGTCCGGACTCCAGCACCAACTATCTCACCTACAGTTACCAGACAGCAGACGAAACCAGGAAGTGTTTAGTCCTCTGAGGAAAAACGGAGAGATGAATAGGTCCCGGGGCAATAGAATAAATGAGTGAATGGATGAATGGATGGCACAATATTGAATAGAGGAGGAGGAGGGAGTGGGGCGGAAGAGAACGGAACATTGAGAGGAGCCAAAGAAATAAATTGGAAAAGAGGCAAAAAAATGGACACAGCAGAAAGTTGGAGACTGAATATTTGATTGTGCTGAAGTTCATTTGGTGGAGCACAATTCTAAGTTCAAACAAGTGACCATTACAGTTTATTTTGACGGCTACTGAACTCCACTAATGATTAGCTGTATGAATGTCTTACAAAGTTGGGACTTGCTGACGAAAACTCAAATTTGCAATCACAGACATTTGGAAAAATAAAGAAAATCACCTGATGAACACAGACTGAGCAGTACTGAAAGTAGATGAAGGATTAAAATCTATTAATAGGACCATGAACAGGGACAAAGGGCCATTTTTGCTTCCTCAAACCAGAGCTGTCCTGTTGATGTCAGACTGCAGACAGCGCTGTCGTCATACTGCTATCAAGAAGGAAGACAGAGCCGAAGAAATGTTTAAATTCCCCTTTGGTTTGAAATGTGGCTTCAAAGTAGTTTATTTGTTGTCCCATTTGTCTTCTGGATGAGAGGAATACGTTCAACAACATCCATGACTTTTTTCCTTCAATTGGTTGTGGTAATGAGTGATCAAAAGAGTTTAAAATAACCATGGTCTGGTGGTCTTTTTTGATTTAGATGTAACTTAAGTGAGAAAATGATCCAATAAGGCTTGGTAATGGCCGCCATGAGTGTGTAAACCAGCCATGACAACCAGGCCCTCCAACCTCAGCAAATTGCTTTAAAACCCCGTACTTTGTTGTATAATGTAGCCCATAAAACACACAGTGATTTGAACACTCTGCCCTAATGGCCGTGTTCCCATATGATGCACACAAAGGAGCGTAGAGACAGAGAAGGATGTGGAGAAAAGCTGGGGTCTGTTCTTCTAAACATTTGCTTTGGCAGGCTCTGGACTGGCTGGGCGGTGCTCCTCTGGTCCCCTGACATGCATAGAGCGGAGCCCCTGTGTCTTGACCATAAATCTGAATGGAGTGGGAGTTATCATACTTTCTCCCCCCTTCTTCTCCATGTCCCCTCCCCGACTAAAACCCTGCATTCCTCCAGACACGGCCTCGTACAAACAAAGTGGCCTGTTCCCACCACTCTACATTGGGAAAGACGATGGTTTGTCATGGAAAAATCCAGAGGCATCTCAAGAGTCCATTTGAGATTTTTTCTGTTGTGAAACGTGATCAAGCAATACAAAGCTGTAGGAGCAAACATAGCTTTGTTTAACCATGTTCTGTTTAATGTTTATTATTGGGAAAGACAGGCTCCGTAATATTTTAGCGTTTGATTCTGTTTGACACCAGTTCAAGAAGTTCAAGTTGGACCTGGTAGGCCTAACGTTCAAGATTTCAGCACAGAGAAATAGCTACAGTGAAGGATCAATGTAGTAATGATAAAGTATAGTAGCCGTAATAATAAGTGTAGCAAAAACTCATTATAGTAATAGTGCATTTAATATAAATAGTTGTAGACCAAGCAGTAGCTATTGTAATAGTAATGATCAGTATACTAGTAGTAGTAGCTGCAGTAGTAGAAGTAGAGGTCCCAGCGCTACTAGTAGTGGTTATAGTAGAAATATACAAAGTAATAGTTGGTGTTATGATATTACTATTATTATTAGTGCTGGTTTTGGTTGATCTATGAGTCTGACTTTTTCCGTGAACCATGGAAATGCAGGTGAGTTGAATTTGTTGAAAGCTTTTGCCTAATGTATTTTTATCCTTGAGTAATGATTTTCAGTTCTTAATCTGCACTGAGTTGCTGCAAGCTATTCCCCAGTACACATTCTGAAATATTTAGTTGAAAAACACAAACTACAAACATGGTATGATGGGCTGACAGAAAAATGAGCCATGGGTGAGAATTGGTAGAGGAGTCATTATAGAAACCCTGGCAACACATTCCATAGGAGTCTGCCTCCACCCTCAAAGAGACTCTTTTGTGCTTACTGAATGCAGTGGGGTTACCGGGTTTCTCCCTTTAGGGTACACTGAATAATACCCCCGCCTGGAGACAATGACCTCATCGTGACACCCTCCACTTGTTCAGTACAATCCTCATACGTGTTTGCACTAACCTGTTTTTGACGAGGTTTGTGTGGCAGACTGAGAAGCAGGAAGTAACTGGTCAAGGATGGATTACAGGAAGGGGGGCCGCTTGGAGGAATCCTCAAGAGGGATGTATTTTTCTCCACTGTCTGATTCAGCCATTGTCCACATCATCTGTACATGACATTGGGAGACATATTAACACAGTGTACACACACATACTACTACACTGCCAAGCCTAAGAAGAAGTGGGCTTTCAACAGGAAATTCCTTCACAGTCTTTCTGCTGACTAAGGAATCCAAGTGGGAACAGTGTTGAGAAAGAATGTAATGTATATGGTGTGTGCTATTTGGGGTCTAGTTAGGGCACCATATGTGCAAGCTATTAGTACACAGGTAAAAAAAAAAAAAAAAAAAGATTATTAATAAATTAAGTTTAGCCTATATTTATAATAGCTCTTTGCAATTTGCACAAACAATAAAAATACGCCATGTCTTCCTTCTCTGACAACTTACTTCAGATCTTTTTAGCTGGTATGGATTTTTTGCTAATTTGCTAATTGCTAAGTGGGGCCAGCTTAATTTGCTTTCTATCGCAGCTGTTTAATAAAATATTCAACAGCCTGTAGATATATTGATAAAGCACTTGCATTGTGGTGTGGTTCTAACTTATTATTATCGAAGAAGTTTAATAAAAACCACAAATAATTGTCACTGTTTGTGTTGTCCATGCGGCGGAGGCAGACAGTGCTCTGTACAGGTGTCCACCATGACCTACATTACCAGAGCTAATGCCACAGTCCATACACAAAACATATATATATTTCAGCTCTTACTAGTTATCTTACCTCATTCACACGCTACAATGTTCATTTTCGTGTGGGCTTTTAATAAATGGTTAAATAAATTTGATATTTTGTGGATAATGATGGGGAACAAAGGTTTGTCCGCCGAACATGAAGCCAGTGCGAGACATAGACGGATGCTGCGGCTCGGAGAAAAGGAGTGGCAGTTTCACTCACTTGGATAAATAAAGCAACACTGACATCTGGTGGATGACGACTGAGCAATTTAAAAACCATAAACACCACTTGTCATCAGAGACCGCTGAGTGCTCTCAAAAAGATCTATCAGTTTCTTTACACCAAAATGTGTTCTGCTTTATAGTTATGAGCTCGTTTAGTGCGTGCAGCTTCAAATGTAGGATTAGATCAAACTCGGAGGATCGGAGTTGGACTGCACTTAGCATATCCTCACTGCTCACATCACTAACCTTTTTTGTAGCCCTACACCTCTACCACTGCTCTAATATACATATTTGAAACAAAGGCTGTTGTCAATAAAGATACAAATGATTTTGCCATGTGTCCTTTAATGACAATGATAAATTTAAAAATATAAGAATACATACATTAGAATTGAGAAGCTTTGAAAATGGTCATGTTTAAAGTGTGAACCTTAAGAAATTACAGATGTGAATTATAAACATGCTAAACATTGCAGAGAAAGATGCTGAAAGAGACAAAGAACAGGAACATAGATTTGCATAATGATATTGCACATAAATGCAATCCAAAGCACTTAACACATGAAGTGTTCATTTGTATAAATATTACATCTCTATTGTGTTTTGTTAGACCACATTACACATTGTGAAAAAGAAAAACACAAAAGCGTGAAGCATTGCTTCTTGGTCTGCATGGCACGCTGCCCATTGAACTATGACTGTAGTTCCAAACATAGGCTGAGCAATTATAAGACTAAACCTTACAACTAGGTCAAGTTCTCCTTTTTTGATTAAACAGAAAAGTTAATGTATATGAAGTGGATTCCAACCTCACACCTCAAATTATCTCAAATGATCAAATCATTACATTTTGTCCCTCTTCCCACATATTCACACATTCAAGTAGAAACCAAATGAAAATAAAGTGAACATCTACATGTATTTTTTCAAGGAACGGTACCTTGTGTTGAGTCTAAATTCAAATTTATGAGGAAACTAAATCAGAGAATAGGGTAGGATTTATTTGTCATCCAAAAATCATTTGTGTTTTGTTTTGTCTCTGAATGACTAGCAGCATTAGTTATTATGGCTGTTTATAGCCTGCAGTTAAGTTGTAGCCCAATTGAAAATACACAAAAAAATTGTACTTCCAATTACAGAAAGTGAAGAGAAACTGCTTCTTTTCTGTTGCAGGGAAACGTCTGGCACTGTCGGCACCTTACACAGAAGCCATTATGACCTTAAGCACTGTCTAGATAACTGCCATATGATGTTAGGCTGACGTTTAGCCATGAAAACATTTTACAGTCTAAACTAACTTCTGACACCGCCATAAAATTCTCTTTACCCTGGTCTCAGTTTTCAGTTGGGTAACCAGTGAGGTACAAGCCCTCCAAAGATGCCAACAGCCATGACAGGTGACTTTAAGAGACAAGGAACACATTAAGCATGGATCGTCTCTCCAGAGAACAAGCTTTGATAGGAAGTCATGATGATCAATCCCAGTTTTCCCAGTCTTCATCCAGTTGCTGAAAACAACAAAAGCATTATTTGGTTTTCAACAAATGTTTTACTTTTGATAATAATTAAATAAAATACATTTAAATAAATAAAAAATACCTCTCCTGATGCTTCAATTTTAGAAAGAGCCATCTGAACCTCCTCCTCTGTCATGTCTAGATCAAAGTCTTTTTCCCAGTCTTCACTCACGTCAGTGCTTGACCCTAAACAAAAGGAGCCAAAACCAAACTTCAAACAATCCAATTTCACGTTATCCAACAATGTTTTATTTAAACAAATGTACCTTTTTTGCCATTATTAGAAGGTGTAGATTTTCCACTGTCAGAATTCAGCTCAAACACTCTTAGGTCCTGGGGTCCATCTTCTTTTGTTACCTCTGTTTTCACTGGAGGTCCTGTCACTGCTTCAGTATTAGCCTCTGGTTGAGTTACCGCGCTTTCTGGACTTGGCTGGTCATCTGTGTTTGTAATTTCGTCCAAAGAGACCTCAGTCATTTTCTTGTCCAGCTCACTGACAAATAGCTCTGGCTGTACATCTATCTGCGTTGGTAGGCTGACGCTGTCACTGCTCAGGGAGAGGCGTTCTTCACTTGGAGATTGGACAGGAGTTAGGAGGGACGATTCTGTCAGTGTGGATGAACTCTGGTCCATTGTTGGTGTTAGGGCTGGTTGATAAGAAGATGGGGTAGCGCAGAGGAAATCATCTGTAACAAAAATAAATTACTATGGTTAAATAGTCATGATATACAAAAATAGGTAGCAAAAATCTGTATGCCAGTTTACCCTCTTCCTCTTCCTCCCATCCCAGAGTCTCTGTATGTGTACTTTGTTCCGCTCTCTGTTTCAAAGCCACTCTTCGTGCCTCCTCCTTCCAGAAACAATTACAATATTTATTATTATTTTTATTATTATTATTTTATTATTATTATAATGAAAATCACATCAAATGTTTTTTCTTGTCTCATTTGTCCTTTTCTCTCTAAGCAATAACTCGCATTTTTATCGCCAAGTACTATCAATGTAAAAATTGAAAACAGCCAGCAGATGGCGGTCAAGACATTAAAGTGAAGAGTGTTCTACAAGAAGGCCCTTGAGACTTACCTGGTCCAACTGGAAGACTTTATAGAAATACCTCTGCCAAAACTCTGAGTGAGAAACAGCAGCAGGCACCTGCACAGTGTACAAGAATAAGGTTTAAAAAAAAAAAAAACATTTACCACAAAGAAACAATCTTGTGAAATGGCAAAATAGATGTAAATACAATACCATTTTAGTGTAAAGCGCTCGTATAGATGGACTGTTGACCAAAAGTTCAGAGATTTCTCCTTTCTTCTCCAAACTAAAACTGCACATCCAACTGTCAAACTGCTCCGGGGGACCTGAATAAACAATAATGCTCAGTAGTAAATTACAATAATGACTGTAAAAATAACTATCTAGTAATGTGACATTAAATGACAATTGCAAAACTGGAATAAAAAACATTTGCATCCTGTGCTGGAACTTAAGCTAACCATCTCTCACCACACCATCTTACCGTCAGGTTCATTGCAGTATGTAGCAGGGTCAGCCTGCAGACTGTAGAGACGGGCCTATGGGTAGAACAATGTCTTGTTAGTGTCTTGTTAATATGTTAATTGCATAAAATACTCTATTATAAAAAAAATTCTGCTATTCTCTAAAGTAAAAAAAAAAACAAACATTCTTACATTTTCAGTTATAGAGCAAATAATATACTGAAGTAATTTAATTGCTATTTATTCTTGTCCATATGCAACATTGTACATAACCACATACTGCAGCACGTTTTGTAGCCTTATAGCTTTACTCTGCTGACAGTGTTGTTAGATTTTGTTTAGTATAAATCTTTATATTTTAACTTATCTAAGTCTTGATTTCCATTTTCCTGACCTTTATGTTGCAACACTGAAATTTCTCCATTGTGGGACAAATAAAATTTGACTTTATCTTATATACTTTTCTAATTTATTAAATGCTAATTGTTGCTGGTATAATTTAATTTCCTGGACACTGAAATGCATAAGTTACACCTACCTTTGAACTGTCATACACCTCTGTAGTTCCTGCTGGTGTAGCTACTAAAGTGATTACATCACAATCAATGGTTTTGTCAGGGGGCGGTGCAAGCGTGTCAGTTATCACGCCAAGAAAACTTGAAAGGCTTTTCTTCACTTTCTCTGTGGTTTCAGATGACCCTTCCACCTAGAACAATATAATCAACCACATTTTATTTCAATGTCATCAAAACACTACCCAAATATAGTTGTAGTTGTAAAAGTTTTAAATACTTACTGCAAGTTTGTTTTTAACAGCTGTGGCTGTAGCCACAATGGAACAAGCCGTGTCATGCTGCACCACAGTACTGAACTCTGTCAAGTCTCGCTTAATAAACTCTAATGCCTCGGAGGACTACAATGAACACAAAAGCAGAAACGAAATATGTGTTAAGACGCACAGATTACAGCGAACATTCTGAACGTTTTACATTTTCTACGCTACCTTTTCTTTGACAGCCTGGAAGCTCTGCTGAAACCAGCCTCCCCACCAGCTTTCACTGTTAAATAAACAGAGATGAAGATGGATAACAGTCTTAATTAATCAGAACAATCAGATCAGCAAAAGATCCACTACCCTCGAATGAAAGCTAAACGTCACACTGAATATCATAGCTAGTCAGACACATCCATATGATGGGAAATATATGCTTAAATGCGGTGACAGCTGGCTGTACACGCTATAAAGACAAATAATACACGCAGTACATAAAAGTAGCATAGTTCTTTCGGCATATTTGAGATTTGGTGCCACTAAATCAAAGCTAAACGGTGCTATGCTAACTTTAGCCTCGCTGTGTTTTTGTAAACAGACGCACTTCCCGTAGTGAATCCGGAGGTTAATAACCTTAAACAAAAATAAACTCCGTATAATTCAACAGATGAACAAATGGACAACAAACCCATCTCTCAAACAAATTTAACATATCTGGTTTTATAAAAAGCGTAAACTTGTTGTGTTTTTGCGAGTTCACACTCACCCGTCAGCCATCTTCAGATGATGACATCATCAGTATTTACTGAACTCTAACCTAGACCTAAGAAATCATAAAAAGAAATACTGAATCCAAATTTATTTTAGCTTAAAGATATTTGTTAGGTATTTTACTATTTAGGAAATATAAAATCCGATGCACATATTTGCGTATCTTATTTTTACCTTTGGGCTACGGTGGCCATGGAGGACCAAACCAGTTACGCATAAACGAGTATTTGAACGAAAATAATTTAGTGAACAAATTGCACATCCATGGCCTACATCTACTAGAAGCAGCGTATAAAGTGGTAAGGGAATATGTGGTTTACATTAGTTACGCTGTGTATAAATTGGAATTCAGTGAGGACAATTTAAATAACTACATTTGAGTAGCTTTATATTCAGCCTTACCCGGCGTACTTCACATATACTAGTAATGTTGGCTGTATATTTGCTTAAAAAAAATTGAACTTTCCTTTGTAGTGCATCTGTGGGGTTGAGCATGTGACCATCTGCCTGTGCAGACCATAGACTCCTGTTATCCAGACAGGTACAGTGACCCCAGCAGCTGCCTTCTCATCAGTAATGTGTCTATGCTGTTAAATTTAGTCGGCGCTTTAGTCAGTTGACATAGAAAAGAAAACAGGCATCTAGCCTCTCAAAGTGTGTACTCTTAATTGAAGAACCTCTTTATTCAAATGCTGCACAATATGCACTTGTGTCCAGCAATATGCTTCCCCCTGCGCCCAACCTCATTTTCAATCCACTTAATTGGGTCTTTCAGACACCCAATTAACTCTTTCAATGCATGTTGTTTTGAGCCAAGTTGGACCAGTACCCAGCCATTGATTGTCATCTCAAGCAGTTAACTTCTCCATCTGTCCACACAGCAAAGGCGTCATTGTGTATAAGTGTCATCATTTTACGCAAGGCATTAAAAATAAAACGTTTGATATGACACTGAAAGAAATGGATAATAGGCTAGTGTTATTTGGCCGTGGGAATTTCACTGTGAAAATGGCGTGCTTTGTATTGTTCCAAATATTATTGAATTATTGAATAGTTAATTGTCATAAAATGGTCTAAGCCCCAGATCCACATTTCGGATCACTCACTTCACTTCAGCATGTGCAAGAGTAGCTGAGTAGAAGCAGGGGCTGACTAACAGCACACAGAGGACATGCCCATATTGCATGATTTAAGGAGCATATCCTTGACATGCCACACACATTAGAGACATATTCACATAACAGACCGCTAATGCCACACCGTGGGTTAACACCATCTGCTGCTGATCAGGAAACACCAGCTTTGCACAAGTCAATGTCTCTAATTATCTATGTGGAGCAAAGGAAGGCTGGCCCTCTCTAATCTGCACAATGTGTTCTGCTTCCCATTCCCACCTGTGCCCACATGAAGGGGGTGGAGCAGGGTCTCAGTGTCAGGGGACCAGAGACCAGGTGACGCCACAGAAGCTCTGCTGCTCCGTTTGGCTGGCAGCTGCCTCCCCCCGCTGGGACGTCCCACAGCTGACAATCCCCTCTACTGACAGGGGCTCTTTACACTGTCAATAGCCTCATATATTAGAGCTAACCGCTTTTGTGGCGAGCAAGGGTGTCAGGGCTTTTGGCCCGACAGCGCTTGTTACCATGATGAAATGTAGATTGAATGGAGGGGGTCTGTGTCCCAAGCACGGTTCTTGGCTCCCTCAGCCTTTGTGTCCCACGCATGGCCATTGTTGTGTCCCATTCAGAGCTCTCAGAAGGGGCCGAGGAGCAGAGAGGGACGTGGGTGAAAATGACTCTTCATTTCTGCCTGCTCTGCAGCTCATCTGTCAGCTGTGGGAGGAAAAGCATGTATTTTACACGCCTGATTTGTTGCTAAGTGAAGGCCAGTCATTGTTGGTTTATCACTAAATTATATCCCTACCATCCACTTTTTGGATTTATATATTCCAAAAGTTTGTATCTCTCAGTGAAGAGACCTTATAGAGCTGTAACATTAACAGTTTGTGCGAAACCTGTGTTATGACAAACCTCTTCCTGTTACCTAAACAGCTGTAATCATTATATTGAACCAACTGTTTTTATGTAAATTATGTAAAGTAAATTTCAACAATTTACTCATATCACAAATATTCATATACGATGCTTTTTATTAGTTATAACCTTTTTCCCATTGCAGAAAGGTATTTCTTAACAGGACCCAATCCTAATCTGCTATGACTTTAAAACTTTTCTTTGATGCTGTATATTTGCCCTCACTAATGAAAACTCTGATGAGACAGTGACAAATGGTTGGCCTGAAGCTGCGGACAGGGCTATGTCCCTCGCCTACGTCAGACAAAAGTGACGCGCCGTCCTGGCGCCATGTCGTCTTTTCATCTGGTGCCCCCCGTAGAGGTGAAGATGGATGGTCCCCTGGTCCCAAACTCACATTCTGCTCCTGCCTGGCACATTGTCAGGGTTCTGTCCTACTGTTCAGAGCTCCTAAGAAAATGCTGACACCCTGTATAAAATGTCTATTTTATCGGCTTTCTATGTCCCTTGTGCCTGAGCTGGTCTCAAACTGCAGCTGAACTGAATCTTATAACATTGTCCATTGTGAAGGTCCTCTAATAAGGACAAAAATAACTATAATGATGTTACATTTCAAACATGATGTGAAAAAAATTATAACTTTAATTTAAGAAAATATACATTTTCACAAATGAACAAACCAGTTTCATTTTTGGCTGTGTCACTGACAAGAAATGTCTTTGTAATGCAAATAAAGTCCTTTTACATAGTCTGTGTACAGACAGTGAAACAACTTACAAAAATTTATACAAGTTTGCAACATTCAATTAATATACACTATGTACAATCTCTGGCACCAGCCATGGAGTTTTCAGTTCATCCGACAGTTCTCTGCAATATGAAGCAAGTAAAATTCATTTGTTTAATGCCAGGCTGTGTAACGTGGAGGTGGTGGTGGGCAGTGGCTGGCACAGTGAGCATGGGCAAGGCATGCCTGGGAAGTGCCTGAAGGAGTGATGGTTCACGTGGAGAGGATCCTTCAGGAGGCTCTGGACTGACGGGTGGAAGCCCAGGAAGCTGCTGGAGTGTGGAGGCGAGTGTGGAGCCGGTGCTGCTGTTGTGGGTGCTGGGGAAGAGTGGTGCTGGAGAGGTGAGGGTGTGCTGCCCACCAGAGAGTGTAGTGACTGGGCCAGAGGGTGCAGGGGGAGGTGGGCCGCAGGAGCTGTGGAGGCCATGGCTGGGTGGGCCGGGGCACGAGCCTGTACAGCTGCACTGCCTCCATAGACATCTCCCACTAACTTCTTCATTTCCTCCAATGAGCTGGACAGCATGAGGATGTAGTTCCGGGCCAGTAGCAGAGTGGAGATCTTGGAGAGCTTACGCACTGACGGGCCTTGGGCGTAGGGCATGACCTCTCTTAGTCCATCCATCGCCTGATTCAGATCATGCATCCTCTTCCTCTCTCGGCTGTTTACCTTTAATCTCAAGTCCTGCATCTCCTCCTTACTAAGCTCTGACCTTCCCTTCATCTTCCCCCCTGTGCTGAGATGCTCCGTTCTGCTCTTACCGGCCTCTCGGTGGTCCTGAAGATATGGGTGGAACATCTTGTTGGAAAAGAAGCTCCCAGCAGAATCATCCACCACAATGTCAGGGGATGATGAGCGACTGCAACTGGAGCCAGCATCAGAATCCATTTTCAACACAAAATGAGATGTGTTCAGCAAAAAGTAAAAAAAATAAGAGTCAGACTTGAGTGAAGCCTGCAGGTCCTTCTCTGTTGACTTCTTGAGTGAGTGAGCCTTTCTGTCAGCCTGTGGGCCTTTGGGGTGTATTTATACAGCGGACCCAACAAAGGAACAATACGTCGCATAATGAGACACTTAGAGTGAGGGCCAATTGCAAAGGGGATACACTTTCACCCTTCACACCCCTCCTCCCTACAGCCTCAAGCTCACCTTCCCACATTAACACCCACATGAAGCCCCTAAACATTAACCCAAACACACCATGTTCACAAGTCCCGTTAAGAACCACAAATTAACAAGACTGTGGTAATGGCAGTGCTAGCATAACATTTGACCTGAATGGAAAATGCTGTATTTGTAAATCAGTTTTAATATTAATATTATAAAAACAAAAATTTAAAATGTGATACTGTTTTCTTCAAAGTAAAAGTATTCTGCTGTATTTATGTCTATGCATATTCAAATTTCTGAAAATAACTTGTATAAACAAATACAGGTTTTATTTTCACAATATTTTATAGTCATAATAAAGTTATCTCTTAATTCTACATATAGCTTGAAAGTAAGAGTGACTTTGCTTCCATTTTATTGTCCCATGATCATAATAGCAGCGCTGTGATGCCTTCAAGGTCTGATTTACATATGGAAGAGCTGTATTAAACTCTCTATGAGGCAAGTGAACCAGTAAAGAGCAGTGTTAATGGCAGACTAGGTCCAATTCAGCTGATAGTCCCAGACAATAGCTCTGAGATCCATCTGACTGGGCTCCAAACAATCTGCGAAATCACACCACTATCACCACAGAGATGGGAGGAGGCAGTTAAACACATACTAGTGCACACTGCATTGTCTTCTATTAAGTGGTACAGTTTGAGCGATTGAACTGCAAAATACAGTATGAATAGTTTACTGTTATACTTGTCTGATGTATTATAGTTCTTGTATTAATGTAATTGTGTGGTGGGATCAGAAAATGTTTCCTCTATTTTCATGCCTTTCCTTTCTCGATTCAGCTCAAGAATTTCCTGTGTCTTGTGCCAAGACTCCAGCAAGTCTGCACTGGTGAGTTATTTGGAGTACACAGTTCATATTTCCAATTTTACATGAACATTTCTAGTTTGAAATACAATAATGGTACGCGTTGTATGTTTGGAGTTAGTTTTGTTTAGAAAAGTTGTCTGCATGCACAGTGGGAGACCTTGGTAATATATTCACCAGAGAGCATTAGACTCTTCTCAAGTTATGGGCATCTTTTATTGTTGTTCTTTAAATCTGTTCAGAAGATTGTCAAGTCACTGGCATGTAAAAAACTAAAAATGAAAATTGTATCAGTCCCCAACAGTTGAGTTGCCAACATTTAACTTTAGGGAAATGTAATTTAC